TCTTTCCCACTCATAGTTTGTATGGTTTGGTGGTATTAACACTAACTCTGCCTCCAGAGATAGGCATCAGATCCAGGCCTGGCCAATTAGAACACCAAATCTCTCTGGCCAAATTAAAGCTTGTGAGATGCAAAGCTCGATTTTTTGAAAGAAAAGTTTTCATATGGTTGATGCTGGACTTGGGAGTCGTGAGGAAAGAAGTCTGGAGCTTCTAGCAACCATCTTGCCACCAAGAGAGACAGATCTGCCTGAGAATGTAGTCAAGGCACAGGAAAGCAAAGGTAAGAAACAGAAAAGAACTGGGGCACCTGGGTGGCTCAGTTGGTAAAAGGTCCGACTCTGGCTCAGGTCATGATCTTGCAATTTGTAGGTTTGAGCCCTGCATCGGGCTCAGTGCTGACAGCTCAGAGCCTGGAGCCTGTTTGCATTCTGTGTCTCCCTCTGCCCCTCCGCTGCTTGTGCTCTCTCCCTCTCTCAAAAATAAATAAACATAAGGAAAAAAAAAAGAAACAGAAAAGAACCTGTTCTTGATGCCATGATTGACCTGTGGGATTCAGCTGTGCCTAAACCCAGACCTACCTTGTAAACTTTTCAGTTATGTCAACCAGTGAATTCCTTTCTCTAAGTCCATTTGACATGTATTCTTTTCTTCTTTTTTCCTTCCTCCTTCACTCCTTTTTGCTGAAAGAACCTTAAATATCATAAAAAGCATCTTTATGCTCATGCATATTCTGGAGCTAAAGATAACATCAATTTGGTTAAAAGAGAACTTAAAATACTATTTATGTAAACAAACAAAAGCCCTCTTTTATCATTACTGCATGCAAAGCAGTGACGACAGCATTTGGTTTTAATGTTTTGATCATTCGTTTGTTTTTTGAGAGTGAGTGAGAGAGAGAGAGAATGAGTGGGGAAGGGGCAGAGAGAGAAGCAGAGAGAGAATCCCAGGCAGGCTTTACATTCAGCATGGCGCCGGAGGGATTCGATCCCACAACTGTGGGATCATGACCTGAGCCAAAAACAAGAGTCAGGCACTTCACTGAGCCACCCAGGTGCCCCCAGTATTTGGTTTTAAAAATCTAAAGTCCGTGTGTTTTGTTAATTCTCATGATACAATATTTTAGTTTTATGCTATTGCCGCCAATGGAGTTGATACTAGGGAACTGACTTCCTCTATGATAGCAATGTAGGAAGTATATTTAAAAGATGTTACACTATCATTTAAACTCATTAAACTTCCTGAGTTTAATGAAGACGTAGGTGATCTTCAGGGACCTACATCATCTCTCGATTGAGTGACCAACTCCTGATTTCAGCTCAGGTCACGATCTCAGGATCATGGGATCAAGCCCCACATTGGGCTCTTCACTGAGCCTGGAGCCTGCATAAGATTCTCTTTCTCCCTCCCTCTGCCCATCTCCCTCCCCCACTTGCATTTGCTCTCTCTAAAATAAATAAATAAATAAATAAATAAATAAATACATTAATAAATTAATTAATGAAGACTTTGAACTGCCTTTAGCAATTGCAGCCAGGGAAAAAGCAGAGCTCCTGATTTTTTCACTCTCGCTTCTCCTCTCCTCGGGTCTACTTCCATGGGTACCTACTAGGATTCATAGGGAATTCTAGAATTATACCTTTCTTTCTCTTAATTTGTGTATTTTTTTTTTTTAATTGATGTCAATTTTATCTGTTTACTATTGAACTTTCCAGAGTCATTTGACAGGGACTATATAAAATGTCAATTTTATTATTCCTCCATTAATAACACTAATGAAAAGGATAGTATCTCACATCTTTCTGGCAGAGGGGAAATGGACAATGGAACCCCAGCAACATACTTCCACAGGGGAGCAAGAACATTCGGTGAGAAGGGTTCTCATTGCCTCCACCCATCTTTTTGTTAACCTCTTTGACTCTCAAGAGGGAATGTGTAAATATGTTCAGCGAGGCTGTGTTTACCTGGCCTTGCGTTTGCTCAGACTGGTCTGAAAAATGCCCAAAGGCCCACCATGCCTGATAGTTAGGGACTGTTTCTTTAGTATTGAGTAGTCCTGTGCATATAGGATCTTAATACAAACTTTCTAAGTGAACTAAAGAACAATGAAAGGACACAAGACAGTATTTCACTAGGATGAGAAGCTTCCCAGAGAATAAATCTGCCCATCACTATTAATAGTTCTCAGAACTTTCTGTGATACGGCAACAATATTGCTGGTGACTGAAAGTATGATTTCATACAAGAGAACGACTTCTGAATTTTTTTAAAACTATTTTTTAACACATGAAATTACACACAATACAAAGTACTTGTTTTACAAGTTGAAGTCTTTACAGTTATGGGTACAGTTACAGTAATGCAAGTAGTATTAATGCATTCACTTAGAGCAGAGTTATTTATCTTCATTGGGCTGAACACAAAGCCAAGAATGAATTATTTGCTTAAATTGCTTTCTAGTCTTTGAATAAAAAAAAAAAAAAAAAAGGAAAATGCCTTCTACCTCCTGTATAGTATGTCAGAATGATAAACAATGCCAACAATTAAGTAGTCTGGTATTTGTATAAATGGGAGATTGTATTCCAATAGCTTTTAAGTTGTAAATCTTAAAGTTTTGGCTACAGTATGTCTATCACATTGTCATTATCTCAGCTCTCCGGAAAATTACGTCATCTTTGGTAATAGGCTGCCAAAAAACAGAAACTATGGACTACACCATTTTTTTTTCCAAAGAATCCTGTATTTTAATGAATAGCTGAATAAATAGACATTAATTATGAAATTCACATTAAGATAGAAGAAGATCCAAACATTCTGATTGCTTTATCTCTTAAATTTGATAGCTACTACAAAACATACTATTTATGTTAGGGTAAAAATAAGCTGAATCACAGGAGTGTACCTGGGACGTGCTGGCAGATATATACAGCAACAGGGAGGAGTCATAAAATAAGAGTGTTTATATGTACATATTTTTTTTCCTTTTTTTTTTTGCATGGAGAAACACTGTTTCATAAAATGGGAAAACACACAGTAGATCACATGCAGCAAGAACCAATACAATGTGCACAGCAGTATAACCAAATAAGACACAAGAACTATGGGTTTAAAAAAGAATTTGGGAGCAGGGAAAGAAAAGAAAAAATTGAAACCTGGAATGCTTTCTTATGAAGGTTTCAGAATATAACTTTGTCTAAACAAGCCTCTTGATAGTTTTTCAAAAGTTCTCACTTGACCTCTTATGGTTTAAGTGTAGAGCTAAAAATAAACCATCATATTATACAAAACTTTGTATATTAGCATACAAAAGGTAACAATTTACTTTTTGTATAAAATATAACCTTTTGATAGTATATTTATTTCACATATGTATAAATATAACCCAAAGAATATGTTTTAAGTATTTCTACCAAAATATTCTTTACAAAAGTTTACAAAACAAGTAATTTATTCATATTTACAACCCAGCACAGAAGAGATTCTGGGCCAGGGATGTTGGTATTGTGTAAAAGAAAGAGAGTGCGTCTAGACATTTTAAAGATTGAGAGAGGGCTTTGCGGAACTTTCAAAATATGATCTTTTTAGGACAGATATTTAAAGACTTAGTTGTGAAACAACTTCAGTTAAATTACATTTGATGATTGAATATGTGGATGTATAACTAAAAAGGCTGAAGACAACCTATGTTCTTCTGTAATGAGGAAAATAATAGCAATATTTTTCATCTGATCCAAATCAGCACACATCCTCCTGATTTTACAGCTGGTCTGTGTGTGGGCACTGAGGTTACATGACTCAACCAAACTTCTTTCTTTGATACAGTGCTCAGCCCTGAGGGAGAAGGCTTAGAGATGAAGGGTCCATCTAGCATGTGGTAAAGACACATCACATCAGGGAGCAAAGAATGTATGGATTGCTACATTCTATTTAGCTCTTTACCCAAACAATATGCCCAAATCAGGACAGATTGTTTTCTCTCTCAATTATGCTTTCCTTCAAACCCTATGAAATAGATTGTACCCATCCATCCCCACCATTTCTTGTCCTGACCTTCTGTGTCTTATCTCCAATCAAAACAAGATACTTTCTTATCTCAGTTTGCTTACAAATCTGTCTCTGGTCATCAACATAAGCAGGGAAGACAAGGCTCAATTTCACTCAGCGAGGAAACTAACCAGTAGGCATCATCACAATAGGTAACACCCCAGGTCATTGGGGGCTAAATAAATCTCCTTTATAGCGTTGTCCAATGGGATGTTTTCTTTTTTAAATAGTGAAATCTGATGCCGACAGGGATGCACTAATATTTCAGTATGATTAGGACAGGTTGTGGTTGTATCTAAGACTTGGAAATGCATTCAGAAATTGGTTGTGGAAGCCCAGATAAAGTTGGATAGCCCTGCAATCTTGTTTCATCACTCAACACAGCATGTTGCTGAAGTATAGCATATGTAGGAATATTGACAAAGTGAGAGGTGAACCTGGGGAAGAAATTCTATAATCCACTGGCCGCTCTCTAGTTTCTCTGGCTTTTCTCTACTTAGGACACTGGTGACTCCAAACAAACCTATAACATTTCCATCTGCCCTGGAAGTCTTAGTGAAACTAAATGAAAAGACAGAGTGGAAAGATTCAATCACACTTCCATCTATCTATTCGAGCAAATTAAGGAATTTGTTGCTTGCTGCTTGGAACTAGTACCTCCGTGTGACATGGGGTTTAATGAGCTACAAGGTCTATTACTTTTCTTTCAGGGAGGAAAGGAGCTTGGAAAGCCTATTTTACACAACTAATTACACATCAACATCACAGTTCTGTTTGGGCAAACTGGATACTCTGTCCTGGAGTTTAGACAGGGAAAAGTGATCCCAATATTTTACTTTCAGGGTTGAGATTTAAAACAAGCGTTTGAACCGAGCACTACAGTTACTTTCCGCTTCCATTTTTAAGCCAAGGTGTCTTCATATCATCCAACTAAAAGTCAAGAGTTTGGCCTTTACAGAGTCCTCGTAAAATACTGCCTTTTAGTGCTTAGAGTATATTAATCGTCCCTCTCTTCTCCTTTAGGAGTTGTTCCCCAGAATTTCATCCAGATTGATGTCTTTCATCCAGTCGTCGTTACCGGGCTCTGTCTTCAATAAGGAATCAATGAAATCAGCATCACTGTTCAGGGCAGGGCCCATGTTATCAGTCTGTTGGTTGAGAAAGTCAAAAGCTAAGTCACTGCCATGGTCAGTTCCTTGAAAAGCCCTGGAGCTTTGGTTGGGTGAAGGAAAGTTGCCTGGTGTCATAGATGGTGGCTGGCTCATGCCTGTCCTCGGCTGGCTCAACCCTGTTCCCGACTGGTTCAAATTAGGCAAGATCTGTGTGCTTAGCTGATTGGGTCTGAGATTCAGACTTCTGAGTGGACCCATGGTTTGTCCATTTAATGTTTGGTTCATTTGGGTCATGGGTCTCATTTGCACTGCTGGTGTTAACTGGTTAGGAGGGGCCGCTGCCCTCTGGGAAAACTGCTGGCTGCCAACTGCCTGCTGCAGTGACTGGTTTGGAGTGTAGGCTGCAGGTGCACCTGTGGGGAAGCGGACTGCCGTGGACTTCAGGGCTTCCTGTTGTTTGGTTGTCGTGTCTTGAGAGGCCCAGTTTGGTGCGGTTGTGCTGGATGTGATCATAACATTTGATGTTCTCTGTGCGGGCATGCTTGCCATGCTATGGGTTAAATTTGGTCTCAATTGTTGCGAATTGCTGACAGGTCCAGCTCCAAAAGTAGCCACGTTGTTATTATTACTTGCCCCTAAGGCAGGTGGCCGTGGCATTAGAGGGTTGTTTTGATTTGCTATCAGTTGGTTTGGGTTTCTCTGTTGGGTCAACTGACTTATTCCTGAAGTCACGTTGTATGTGCCAGGTTGGCTGCAAGGCAGATTTCCATACATCCCCATATTCTGAACCGCTGTGGGTAACGACGGCATTCTTGTCCCATGGGAAGTAGACAGGAGGCTGGAATTTGGAGTCAAAATGGTATGCGTCGAAACTGGGTTTGCCAAAGCCTGGTTAGAGTTTAAAGTCACTGCTGATGAGCCACCTGAGAAGAAGAAGACAGTTATATTAGTTTATAACCATAGGTTATCTCCTCTATTATAGCAATTTGCAGTAACTTACCAACTCTGAAACTGTTTTCAGATGAAGGGACAAATAAAGAGAAATAATCATCACAGGTATTATATAAAAGAAGTGAGACAGTTTGCAAGGGAAGTATCACTTAGGTCATCCCTTGGTCAAGAGTTTATATATTCTAGAAAAAAAGGCTACACTAAAATGGCTCTGGTTTTTAGATTTTACTTTATTCCTCTTCTGGAGTCTTTGAGAAGAGGTGATAGTCAATCTTTCTTTCATTCGGAATTGGCTTTCCTCTGTTCTGAGACCAGACTACAACTGTGATTAACCAGCTGTTATGAAATCCATGCCTCTGGTTACCTCAGGTCCAAATAAGAAAGTGTGGATGAATCCCATAGGTGGCTACTAGATTAATATTCCAAACCTGTGGCCTTGAAAATCATGTCCAGTTATCCATCTGCATTATCCCCACTCAAGAAGCTTCCATGAGTGGCCCCCAAGTGTCCAAAGGGTAAATTCCCATCTATTTAAACATCTGGAATTCAAGGCATTCTGTGCTTCGCTGATTATCTCCATGTGGAAAGCCCTCTGCTCCAGGAGGTATAGTTACTATTGCACTGTTATCTACGTACGTTGAGCTACCTTTGCTCATGCTATTTCCCCCTCCCATGATGCCCTTCTTAACTTGCTGAGCCTTACTTTTTCTTCAAGGCTCAGGCCAAGGTCTAAGCTCCTTCATTAAGTTTTCCCGGATATTCTCGCCTGCTTTTTCCAGAAGGATTTGCTCTTTGAAATTTTCATTCAGCACTTAGCCCTCGTCTTAGGAAATCCATAGAACCCCAAAGTAGAACCATCAATCATAGGCTGTTGAATAGTGAGCTTCCACATATCAGAGAGTGATTAGTCAACACATTAAAATCTTCCTGACTTGGGGAGGTTGAAGTCATCTTGGGAAAACATCTTGGGAAGCAAAACTGGTATGCCAAAAAGTTGAAAATAAGTGCCTTGTAGATGATAAGTTCCACGGGGAAAAACATTTTCACCTGTTTTGTTCACTGTCATATTCTCTAAGCCTAGTGGATGGCGCAAAGTCAGTATTCAGTTGGTATTGGATGAATGAGTTAATGAGAGATTGAAGTACATGTGTAACTTGGAGAAAGGTACTCTTTTAAAGTACTCTCCCTGCAGAGATGCAGGGAGATTCAGAGAATCAGAAATACTAATAAACAAGAATTAGACACATATACAAATCTCAGAACAGGAGTGTATGAAGAGAGCATGGCTGTAGTTGTAGCCTTAGGGTACCCTGACTGCTTGGGGATAGCTAGCATGGCACACGGCTGGATAGACTGAAGTCCTTGCTATTTGTTTTAAAACATGTCTCCACTATGGGGCGCCTGGGTGGCGCAGTCGGTTAAGCGCCTGACTTCAGCCAGGTCACAATCTCGCGGTCCGTGAGTTCGAGCCCCGCGTCAGGCTCTGGGCTGATGGCTCGGAGCCTGGAGCCTGTTTCCGATTCTGTGTCTCCCTCTCTCTCTGCTCCTCCCCCGTTCATGCTCTGTCTCTCTCTGTCCCAAAAATAAATAAACGTTGAAAAAAAAATAAATAAATAAAACATGTCTCCACTAGACTACATACCCCTTGAAGGCAGGATCAGTCTCTTGTATCTCCTTGTATGTCCAGACTGAGCACAGAGCCCTGCACTGGTAGGGCAGTGAGAGTTTGATAAAGAGGGAGCACAGTCAGGTATGAGATGCTTGAACAGCAAAGAGTTCACAGACAGCTGATGAGGGTAAGCAACATCCTGTTGGGTCTAAAGGTTTCATGAGAAGTGGAGTGACACTATGAAAGTGCTATGGAAAAAAATTTAAAGATTTTAAAAATCATTCCCTCTAGTGTTCTCTATTTTGAAAATATGCCCTGAGAAGACTTATGAGGAGGGCAATATTTTTAAAGTACCAGAATTGGGAGAATTTCCATAAAGATCACAAAATATCAATCACAGTTAATATTTAGAAGCTCCTAATACGTGGTTAAAATTGTTCCACGTGATTTTCATATATAACTTCTTATATTAACATCTGGGCAAGGTAATTCTTACTGTACTGAGCTTAAAATAAAAAATGATAAAAGAGTTTGTGTTGTGCTTGTTGTTTATTTCATTCTCAGAAGTCATGGGAAGTTCAATGCTCTAGAGCAATGGTTCTTAACCATTTAGGGGTCAGTAACTGGATGCTCAAGATCCCTCCCTTGGGAAAATGCCCTGTGAAAGTGATCTGCAGGTGCCTACCCAGTATCCAGCCTCCCTGTAGCCCTTAGAAAAACAGACCCTTGATTTTTCAGCAATGTGCCCAGCTGAAAAGCCACATTTTCCAAATTTCCTTGGTGATGGAGGGATCCAGATGAATAAATTCTAACTAAAGGTAGAAGTTACTAGGTGAGAGCCCAAGAAGCCTATTTTAAAAGAGAATCTGACTCATTTGGGAGGCCATTTTACCTTTTCCCTCCTTTTATCTTTCTTTTTGGAATATCGATCTGAAGGATGGCAGTGTGGTGGCCAAAAGGCCATCCTTAGGAGGGAGGCTACATGTTAAAGAAGGTGGAACAGAAAGACAAAGAAACCTGGATCCCTGACAACATGGTACAGCCACCATGAAACCACCATCCTTGAGATTCTTTTATATGAATGGGAAAAGTCCAAACATGCATCTTGAATTTTTCAGAATATTTCAAAGGGCTCCTAGCTTCCCCATGACCACGGATAAGCCATTATCACTGAGAAGCCATGTTCCAAATGTACCTCCATCTTGTCTTTCAACTACCTTGAAGACAGAATCAAATAGAGAATCCAGTCTGGGGCCTGAGACAAAGTAATCTTAGAGAGTGGATTGCATATATCTCATTCCAAATTTTAGTGGTGAAAGACAGTCTGGTACATTTAAAGAGCTTAAATACATTAGTACAATATAGTTATTACCATGCATAACAGGACCAGAAAATATTTTTTAAAAACAGGAATATTCATGGCACCTCCTTTAGATAATCTTCTGCATGCCTTCCTGGATAGATGAAGGTAACAGGCAAAATAGAGAGAACTTGGAAAAATTGAGGACAAGCTTAATTTACATGAGAAAGTGCAGAGTTCTGGGCAGATGGGACTTGAATCCATTCTAAACAGGAGAAGGCAGGAACAGTCTGGGTTAGGTCTAGGAGAGGTTCTTTTAGAGTTTGGAGAGGGAGCAGAGAGATTTTAGTGGTAGTGCCCACCACTTATGTTACATGGAGCAAAATTAGGAAGTTTTACTTTGTATCCTAAATGCGGTCCACCTTTGTTTGTTTGTTTGTTTGTTTGTTTTGCGAGACTTCATGAGTCCTCATTTGCTTTTCAATTATGTCTTGGTGGCAGGACTATTTGTTCCAGAGAGATGAGTCCAGAAGCGGAGACAAGAAGATTGGACTTCACGCAAGTCCCAAGAGGGAGAAATGTCTGCTTCCCTTACATGATCTGGGTCCAGATATTTGCTGAGAGCAGAATGGTTGAACACAGCGGTTAGGAAATAGTTAAGCTCTTTTGAACTCTAAGGCGTACTCTGGAGGGCAGTGAACTAGGTGAGTGCAGGACAAGAATCATCAAGAACTGATGGAAAGACAAAAAAAAAAAAAAATACCCAGTTTGGTCTTGATCTGAGAGTTAAATGGGATCTAATGAAGGATTCTAAGAAAGATGTTATATTTCAATATGAGGTGGGAAGAGGAGGAAACATCAAAATGGAACAAGTTTCTTTCTTCTGCAGTTAATGATTTTCACCGATTTTTAAGAACACTCACCAGAATACTGGGCAGTTGGCTGCATGCTGCCTGCGTTTCTTCTTTGGTCTTTATAATCTGGGGGTGGCCTTGTCAAATGTCTGTTGATTTGATCCTGTGGAGAAATTTTCTCCTTGAAAACAAACACAAGCGAAAACATATTAAGTCGCATACTTACTTTCCCACTTGCAAACATTCACAGACTGTTGATTCAAAAAAGTAAGACTATAAGAACAATTTTGCCATCATAGCTATGTATCACAGACCTTATTTAGTAGGTCTTAATTCAGAGACAAGTCTTCTCAGTTTCAATAAATTTCCTGCAGGGCAGTATAATTTCTACTTCTCCTTAACATTCACTGTGTGTTTTGAGTCTAGGAACTAATCTCATTTTCTTTATTTTGCAATTAGATTTCAGTGAAAACTAAATTCCTGTGCTTCTTGAGAGGGTGTTTCTGGTTTCATTTTGTAGCACGTCTGATATGCTATGGTACCTATTATTTAATTCTGGTCCCACAGGGTGTAGAAAGCCTATTGGAGTAGGATTGCCAGAGAAAATACAGGACACTTGGGAATCCTATATTTTTATTTGCTAAATCTGGAGATGCTGGGAGATAACTATCAGGTACTGGTAGGGACACTATAAGCACATTACCTCATTCCCCCCCCCCCCCCTTCAAAAACAACCCTTGAAGATAGGTGTGATTATTCCCACTTAATAAATGAAGAAATGGAAGCTTCCATAGGTCATGTAACTTGACAAAGATCACAGAATGGGAGAACAGAAATCGAATCCTGGGTCAAAGACTCGGATTCTTTTCCTGCCATACAATACAATACTTGCTTCTCTGTTTCTCTGTGTCCCATTCTCTCAAAGCACAGAATTTTCCCAGGCCCCTTTCTTTTCTTCCCACTGGAATCAGTCACCATTAGCTCTTAATGGTAGGTGAGTTTGGGAGCTAAAAGAGGAAGTAGGCACATTCTTTCTATATTATCAATGCCTTTAGCCAAAGACCGCCAGGAACACACCTACTGGGTTTATTTCTCATTGCAGTGAGGGAGGATGCACATCATGGGGGTCCAAGTGGTGTCTTGGTACTAGTATGTTAGAAAGAAGCTATTATAGGATTCGGGCTTTGCTTGGGTGATTTAGGGAGGGTCTAAGGAAGCAAGGATTTGTTCTAGATTGTAAGCTGTCAGAAAGGGAAGTTGATTCCATCATTGAGTAAAGAAGTGGCCATCACTCATTTAGCAAAAGGTAGGTTGGCATTTTTGTGGGTTTCTCAATGGCCTTGTGTCTATAGTTAGACGAAGTTATGAAGTGGCCTATTTTGTCTCGTTTTATCGTGGTCTCAGAATAACCCCATCTAAGGTCAGTTTTCTATAAGATTGTTCATGTCTTTAATGGCCTGGCTGTGAGTGTCATATCAGTTCTTTTCTTTCTCAGCATGGATCAGGAAGTTTTTAGAATTGCTTTACTGCAACTTTGTGTGAACCCCAAAGCAACTTCCATTTTCAAAGATAAGCACAACCAGCATAGGTAGACAGAACAATATCATTATAGAAAAGTCAATAAATAGAAAAGAAAACCTTGTAAAGGTAGACAGATAAATTAGATGGAAGCCAAATGTGAGCTGGCTAACTTAGATCCCACTTAACCATGTATTTCTCAGTTTCCCGTCAAATTCCAAACCTTCCAAGTAGAACAAATCTACTATAAAGGAAAAAAATAGCCTTAAAACAACAACAAATTAAGTTCCAATTCTTGTTTCTAAGAAAAAAAACTTGAAAGACTCACAGGGTTTTGGGGCATCAAGTAATTCGTATAAAACACAATTTTGATGAGCTAAGTGTAAATGAATCAGAAACATATGGATTACATTTCTTTTAAATATGGGTTTACAAATTAAGGGAAAAAGTGGTTGGTGAAACTCTTTATGGTTTTTCCCAAACCCTAAATGTTTAAGAAACAGCTTGAGATGTTCCATGAACCCAAATGTGGTGATGTTCAACCATTCTTGTTATAAACTATTGTGCAAGCTGACAGTTTTGATTTTTTTGCCAAGCATGAGACTTTCTGAATTCTTCTCTTTTTCAAAAGCATCTATCATTTGTTTTCTTATGGAATTAGGTGTTTCTGCTGTTTAAGTTGAAGAAAACAGGATTTGCACATTCACGCACATGTTTGCATGTGTGTATGTGAAAGAGAGAAAGAGAGAGAGAGAGAGAGGGAAAGAATCAGGCTCTCGGTTCCCCATGAAAGACTAGATCTCAAATCTGGACTTATTTTTATGTGTATTCAACCTACTTACTGACTTTTTTTTGCACGGGAGCAATTAGGTTGTTCAAAGGGTTGATAATACATCTCTGGAAGCTTGAGTTACTTAAACTACTTGCTCACAAATAAGTTAGACTTAATGGCCTTGTGTATGGACTATCATGGAACTGTCATTTTGTCTGTCACTTCCTGCTGAGGAGTAGCAAAGACCAGCCTCCAGAACAGAATGCAGACTGTTCCCATGCCCATTCCGTGCAAAAGGAGCACGTTCCCATTCTGTGTAAGTGTAAACTCACAGGTCATCCCCGAGATTACTTCTGTGCAACATGAAATGTAACTTATCCACTCATATCTCATGGACATGGACCCTATAACTCAACCCAATAACTTGGACCTAAAAACCTACCAAAGAAATAAATGCTGTTGCACTCATCTGTCCTGCTTTGGTACTGTCATCTCAAAAATGTGAAATGCAGATAATGCTACGACCTCCCTCGTACTCTGGTTATAAGGATTAATCCTCTACTTCTGTAAAAGCTCAGCATGGCGCCTGGCACACAGTAGGTACACAAACTGCACTGGTTATTGTGATGCCCATTGTGTTAAGTACTACTCATCTTTCCTCTTTGTTCTTCTTCATTGGTGGGAGAATAATGGAGAGTAAGGATAACACACATTCATGAGAAAATGTCTCAATTTAGGCGCCTTTCTGGCCTTGCCAACTGACGGGAAATGACTACAAAGCATATGCTAATGAAAAGCGGTATCAAAGACTATTTCTTCCTGGATATGCTAAAAAGCACAGGCACCGTCAATGGCATCCAAACAAAGAGAAAAGTGAAAGGTTTATAAAAATCACAAAACCAACAGCTCATTGTCATTCATCTCTCACAGTTTATGCCGATGCCTTTTGCACCTGTCCCAGTGGTGATTCAACTGGAGTCCAATGAGAGGTAGGCCAGTGCCAGGACAAAACCCTCATGGTGTGTTCCCTTGCCTTTTAATCAGAGCTGAAAGTCCAGAAATTCAAACTCTGCATGTTGTAATTCAACACATTAGTAGTACTGGTGGGAATAATGAAAAGTGTGCCCAGCGCATCAGTCTTAGATTGTATGTTTTTCTCTTCCATCACCCTTGTTTTCAAGCTATGTAGTTGATGAAGATCAAAAAAGGGAGAGAGTACATGGGACAGGTAGAGTTTTGAAAACTTCTAGAAGATTTATAGAATAAATTAGTTGTGTCACTTTGTGATCCAGTCAGTATCACCCCTTCACCTTATACCTTAGGGCAATACTCAGGGTCACCTGTAAACTTAGTGCTCACTATTCCTTACTCATTCCTCACTACTTCTCACATGCTCTGGACTCCAGCCTTTTTCCATTTGTCATTCCTTAAAAATAATAAATGATTATGTGATTATTTATAGTTTTCATTATGTATTAAATAGTTCGTAATACAATCTTACAATCTCAAAGCCACCAACAAATATACACCTAGGCTGTACCTTTTGGTATCTGGCCCAAGCTCATGTTGGAATGGCGGACGCTACCTACTGTATTCATCAGAATTCTACAGTCCTTCAAAGTCAAAGTCAAAGTCAAATTTTGCATCTTCTCAGAGACTTTCTTTAATCTCTCCTGGCTGGATTTTACCTTTCTTCCATTACATTTTCCCTTACCCTGTTTATATTTTATTGTAAATATGAGTCTAGTGCTCCCTTGTTTAAAGTCCTCCCCATTGCTTTTCAGACAGTGTAAATTCTGATGTATCAAGCTCTATCCTCTGGCCTCTCCTCTCTGGCCTCCTTGACTATTACTTGCTAATCCTTGTGCATATTCTATGCCTTACATCGAATGTGATATGTAGTATACATTATTGTCTCTGAGTCTTTGAATATGCTGATTCTTCTGTCTTGAATATCCTCCTTCTCCTTCCCCCATCTCCTATGTCAGCTTCAGATCTTCAGTAGACATATTTCCTCTCTGATGTACTTCCCACATCATAGCATTTAATCACATGCCCTACAATTGCCTATTTATTTGACATCCTGTGGGCTCTGAGCTCTTTAAGGACAAAGACAGGGTCTGTCTTGTTTATAGCTGTTTTCTGACTGAAATTTAGTTAATATTTACTGAATGAATTATAGTGCTTATCACGCCCTAGATTTCTGACTTTTACTACAAAGCTCCTTGAGCATAAATATTTTTTATTTGGTTTTTCACATTTTTGTAGACCTTGGCTCTATTAACCTGGAGATGGTTAACTTTGCCCTTTTTTTTTTTTCCTTCATTTAGCCAAATCGTTTGAAGGGAGAGAATGAAGCTTGGAGACGGGGCTTGTTGTTCGGAGGTGGGAAAGGTTTGACCCAGTGCCCGAATGTATGTCTGAGGATACGAAGGGACAGCAGATAAATAGTGAAGCAGGGTTAAAGCTTGGGCGATGCTTGGGAAATAACCACCTGCCCTTTCTTTAAGGCCACTTAGGTATGGTGGAAGTTGGGAATATATATTCCATTCTGAGATGCTTTATGTTGGAAGCCAAATCTTAAGGTCTGAAACTCCATGCTGGCTTTCACAACTGTTTTTGAAACGCTTCTATCTCTAAAATCAGTTGGGATTCGAGCTGATTCAAGTTCTGTCCACTACTTCTGCCCCTCAGGGCAGTAGCACAAGAATGATTCCTTTTGCCTGATTCAAATACCCACGGTGGTAGTTCTTAACATTCCTGGGCTGGGCAGGGCTAGTGAGGTGGGGTGCCCTGCGTTTCAACTGTCCAGCAGCTGGTAAATCAAGTTTTGTTTTGTTTTTTTCCCCCATAGCACTTCAACTTCTGTATAGAATTAGCCTTTATTATAGCCAGGACACCCTTGTTGCTATCACCGAAGTAGGCACAGAGAAAAGGGCAGTAAATAGAAATGGGCAACAACGAATTCCCTGTTAGGCCCATAGGTACGTGCAGGAAGAAATTAGGAGAAAGTTTTACCGCATCAACCAGCATCTGCTGCTGGAGGAGAAGTTGCTGTTTCTGCTCCATGATCTGCCTCTGTAGAGTCTGTTTCTTTCCCATCAATTGCTGATTCAACAGTGATTGCTGGGAGTTCATGTAACCACTTCCGGTGTTTGGATTTGAGCAGGGGTTGGGACTTGGACTGGGGCCTATGCTCTGGCCTACCACAGAGTGTTGATCCTAAAGAAGAGAAGGGGGATGGGGGAAGCTACTGTGAATTAGAAGAAACAAAAATGTAGCACAAAGATCATAAGCTTAGATTCCAAACATTTTTCATCTTGTTAAGATCAAACATGGTTAAATGGGTTGGGGATCAGAGAATTGCTTTCTAAATGCAAGAGAAATAAATGCATATTACGGCAACCAAAGCAGCAGGGTTAATGACATTAGGGCACTGGAAAAGCTCCCATACGACTCTAATGGTGGACGCTCCACATTCCAGAAGGCGTTTATGGAACCTCAAAGAAAACTACCATAAAAACATATGGCAAACCTCTCAATTGCTCAGGAACAAACACATCATAAAGTAACAAGTTCTTCCTTTTCCTTAAAGTTAGCACATATCATTGCTGATCCTGCAACGAAAATTATGTTTCAATTCATAGGTTCAAAACTTGAATAAACCATTTTGGTCAGAAGGGGCCCCACTCTTTATGACAAGGCAGGAAGACCTGTGAGTTTCTGTTTTACAAACACTCCGAAGAGCATAGAAGGGACCTGCCCTTACAGAGACTTGTTAATTTTGCACCCTGGTAAGTAAGCCAGGAATTTCAGTGTATCAGTCAGTAAAAGAACACCCAACCAGCCGACAATGAGAAAGTATTAATTAAAAATTCAACATTGTATATTAGTAATATTGGGTATTGGTGAACTGCCATTCTAACTCAAGGTCTCTACCAATCTTTAGGCACTGACAAAGTCAGGGCCTTGCAGGGCAGAGAGCTAAACCTGGTCAAATGTTTTCATGAACTCCCGATGATGTGTTCAGGCTGAGCTGTATACTGGTGGAGTTACAAGGACTCTTCCCACCTTGAAGAATGTGTCCAAGTAAGGAGGAAATTACATGCTTACATGTAAAAATACAAGAAAGCACAGAATCGAGTCTTAGATATGATACAAGAATAAGTCAAAGGTCCTCACACTTTGATGGTATTCACTGGGGAAACAGATGCTCTGGCCTTGCTCCAGAAACTGTGAGGCTACAAATCAGGTACCTGGCCAGGTAATTCTAATACTCGTTGATCCAGGAAATGCTCTTTGAGGAACAGTGGATTATGAGAGCAATAAAACCCAACGTTCATTCTCCAACTGGGCTGTCGGAAGTTACGAGAGATTGAAAAGATAAAGCAACTCTCGTGATGCCTGATGAGTAGTCCACACACTCCATTTGTGGAAAGTGTCTTCCCTTTTACCTCCCTCTTTTTCTTTAGTTATCTACTGAACTAAAAACAAAAACAAAAGCCACCAGCCCACAGCCTGGGGATGTAGAAAACTTGGCCTCGCTTTAGTAATCCCTGGGGCTACAGAGCTTGCCCACCTCTTCAAAAGCAAAGCGATACGAAATAATCTTAAAGATGACCATGCACTGAGCCTTATTATAAGCCAGGCACTGTGCTGAGTGTGCTACGTGATTTATCTCATTGAATCCTCCCAAGGAAACAATGAGCAAGAGCTAGTTTTATCGTCCCAGTTCTGCAGATGAGAAACCTGAGCGCAGAGATCACACAGCTGCGAGTAGTTGAGGAAGATTTGAAGCCAGGTGTGTCTGAGTCCGGAACTCTCTTTCTCAGTCACTATACCAATTGTCTTTCAGCTAAGATGAGCAGTGTTGAAGAAGAAGGTGCTTATACTTCAAAACTTTGCAAACCCACCTGTCCATGTAGCAAGTGTTTATTGAACACCCCCTGCACCCTCAATCAGGCACGTGGAAGGCAGTGTGTTGGACAGAAGGGCAGGGCTGTTGGGTCTGGGAGAGGGGCAGTCCTCCTCACCAGTTAACTAAAAATAAGGGGAGCCATCTCGGAGGTAGGCACATCCTCTGTGCAAAAAACCATCCTCTAACACGTCTGCACACAATGCCCAGTCCTCTCAAAGTTAAACCCCTCTTGGCTCTTGGGGGAAAAAGTTCAACCCACATGTCCTACAAGCCACTAGGGATGTGGGTCTGGAGACTAGCGCAGAGGGTCATTACCACAATGCTAGTAGATGAAGATCTGTGGGTTGAGGGCTCTCGGAGGGCAGGTGGAAAAGGAAGTATCTGGAGGACTGAGTGTTGAATTGTTGGCCCACCCACACTACTGAGAGGGAAGCAGAGCCCGTGACAGGGAGAAAAAGGTGGGGTCAGAGAAAGATGACAAGAAGTGATGCCAGAGGAAATCAAGGTGAGAGAGAATATAGTGGAGACAGTGGTTGGCCCTCCACTCTCCACTGTCAACCAGAATCGAAATCATCTGCTCTTTTCTATAATAATGTGAAGTTTAGTGCAAGCTTTTGGGCTTAAAAAAAAAAAAAACACCCGGTTGACAAACATGCAAAGAAAAATTCAATGCATTTTTCTTCTCAGCCTTCTTTGCATGGCCACACAGTGCTCCAGATCATGAGCTCCGCAGATGAGCCTGCTGCAATTCATTTCCCCGTTCTGGCACTTATTAGCTGTGTGATCTGGGAGAAGTTAATTTGCCTCCACTAGCCTCAATTTCCTTGTCTGGAAAGTGGGCACAATAACAGTGCCCACTTCCTAGGGTCCCTGTGAGAATTAGAGGAAATAATACAAGGCCAATAATACCGAGCACAGAGTCAGCACTTCATAAGCAGCAGCTGCTTATAATTGTTAGCATTATTTCAACACACGGGAGCTGTCATCTTGTTTGTTTGTTTGTTTGTTGTGAAGCAAGGAAGTCAGGCCTTGCAGATTGCAGGAAGTTGTTCTGCATCGACTCTTCCAGAAATGCAGAGGTCATCTACATCGTCGAGATGGAGCTACGGACAGACTCAGGGAACGACTTTTATCCTTCTACCTGGTGATGTCAGAAGAGGAACCGAGTGCTATTCTCCGATGGAAGGTCTTTTGGAGGGTGCTTCCTTCATCTGGGTTAGGGCCTTGGCCCGGGGCCCTGACACTTGGCTTTTCTCCGTGCTGGTTTTTATTTCTTACCATCCAATTATTTATTAATAGCGCAGCCAATATACATGCACTAATTACTGTGCCTTCATTTCTTCCATCATAAATTAGAAGTAATGACACTAACGGCAGAAAATGAAACCAGACGAAATTAGAACAGTCCGAGGCACTTAGGAGGTACTTTATTAAATTGAGTGATTAGTACTTTTCTTATTTACTTACTTATTGTTTTGTATAGGCCAGAGATGTTTTAGACACAATTATCTTTGTGATGGAGCTTGTGCCGTAAGCGTACTTGGATTGCGGATGGAGGGTGTTTAGCTCCCATCTTGGTTTAGTTTAGTTTAGCTTTTTTTTTTTTTTTCATTTTGCAACTTGAACACTGATACCCAAAACATGAAAACGCGACAAAAGCAGGAAGGGCAAAGACAGCTTCGCCTTGCATGCCATCTTGGATGGGCAGGGAGAAGCTGCCTAGAGAGCTGTGTTAAGAGGGGCTCCGTGGAGGCGCTCTGGCATGGTGAGCTGTTCTGCCGCGGATCGTCAGCATTGTGGGATCCGGCAGAAGTTGGCACTCGCTCTCGCAGCATTTCTGGTCTGGATGGTGGAGCTGGTGCTGTCCCCATCATTGGTGCCACTGCTGACGCCAGCTCTCCAAGTGCCTCCCCTGTTGGCACGGGTGCTGTTCAGAAGGCACCGCTTGGATCTGGCTCAGGGATCAGTAAAACCTTGCTCCTTGTCCCAGGTCAGGGGCTCCCCCTGTATGTCGTCCTGGCTCCACCTTCTGATCAGAGCCTCCTCCCTGATGCTCTCTGGGTGCTCCTCTGGGCCCTGGCAGGTTCCTCGGCCATATCCACACCCATCGTCGTGAACCTGTCATCCACGGCCTTCGAGAACCGAGCCTTCTGTTCCTGGGGGTCTTGGTTCTGGTTCTGGGTGATGAGTCTCTGCACCCTCATCTTGCTGGTCTCGTGGTGCGCTCTCAGGCCACAGAGGAGTTCATCCTCCGGTCAGCTGCTATTGGGGGCCTTGTATTTCAGGTACCTCCGTGCAAGAGGAAGGTAAACGTTTGCCAACCTGGGGCTGCACCAGCGGTTCCCAGGGGGCCCCTTCCTAGCCCTGATGCTGCAGCTCGGGTCCTGTGGGAGGGTTGCTCTCCAGCCCCTGCCTACTCTCATGCTCACTCTCAGAGTTTCTGCCCCCGGGATTGAGGCCTACAAAGCCTTAGGCTGCCTGTCCTGCCCAGAGCCACATGGAGGTGCAGGGTGGGACACGTGTAGGGTATCTGTTCATAGGAAGGCCACACATTTTGTGCCCCTTGTCATAATGAACCCAGATTGCTGTTGGGTGTGTTATAAACAGCGGAGCCATTTCTGCAGGCCCCCTGCTCTGAGCACACCCTGTGCTCCCATCATATTTGAAACATAAATTGGCCCTTGCGCTTCTCCATGGGCCACAGTCCCCACTATTTCTTATTTTATTGTATCTGCCCATTTTCCTCATTTTTGAATTTTTGTTAATGTTTATTTATTTTTGAGAAAGAGAGAGAGAGAGAGAGAGAGAGAGAGAGAGACAGAGTGCAAGCAGGGGAGCAGCAGAGAGAGAGGGAGACACAGAATCCAAAGCAGGCTCCAGGCTCCGAGCTGTCAGCACAGAGCCTGATGTGGGGCTCGAACTCACGAGCCATGAGATCATGACCTGAGCCGAAGTTGGATGCTCAACCGACTCAGCCACCCAGGCACCCCCCATTTTCCTCATTTCTTTAATTTTTTTTTTCAACGTTTATTTATTTTTGGGACAGAGAGAGACAGAGCATGAACGGGGGAGGGGCAGAGAGAGAGGGAGACACAGAATCGGAAACAGGCTCCAGGCTCCGAGCCATCAGCCCAGAGCCTGACGCGGGGCTCGAACTCACGGACCGCGAGATCGTGACCTGGCTGAAGTCGGACGCTTAACCGACTGCGCCACCCAGGCGCCCCTCCTCATTTCTATTACTTGCCTGGCTCATGTAGGCATTTGAGACTCAGATCTCTGGCTTATAGTTTATCTGGGAATCTAA